ATATATATAAATATATATATATATATATATATATATATATATATATATATATATATAGTAGAGAAAGATTCCTATTATGATACATATGGTATGATGATACGTAAACCTATTATTATTAATAATATTATCAACAATAACTAAGATTAATATAATAATTATTGTAAGTAATAATTTACTAATTATTATTTTTATGACAAAATTTTTTACCATTTGATTTATATGTGATTATTATATATTTTTGTATATCAGGAGATAAAAGCAGAGTAAGCGCAGGAGAACTCACAGTCCACAAGCAGAGAGTTGTTGGAGATCAGAGGATGCAGACGTCCAGAAGACACACTCTCACTCATGTTCCTGCGGCTCGATAACACATTAACCAGCACCTGCAGAAACACACACGCACGCAAACAAACAAATAAACACAAGCAAACAGATGCAACCACACACACACACACACACACAAACAGACACATGCACAAAAACACATAAATACATATACACACAGACAAACACACACACACACACACACACAAACACAAATGCACACATAGACACAAGCACACACAAAAACACACGAATAAACACAGATACAAACACACAGAGACACAGATATACATGCAAATGCACACACACAAGAATACAGGCACACAGATACACACAGATACAAACACACAGAGACAAATACACATGCACACAAACAAACACACAGGTATCATGAGTGTGTTGTCCAGCATATGCAGCAGTGAGTGAGTGGATCCAGACCTGTGTGATGCCACTGAGAGCCCGATCTCCGCTGCAGGAGCCCAGAGCGATGTACGTCCCACACTGACCCACAGACGGACGCACAGCCAGCGGCAGCAGGAACGACAGAGGCCTCTTACCCGGCGCAATGCTGTTACGCTGGACACAACACACATTCATTTCATACAGACTTCATACTGTGCTTTGACATGTGCATTTTTGTATTCAAAGGTTGATGCACCCTCAACTGAAACATGAAGAGAGGGCGGGGCATAGTGTAGCTCCTCCCCTTTTACAAACAGCCAATAGCGCTATTTTAGATCACAGCTCTGCCATTGAGAGTGGTTGAGCTCAAGTGCATCAAATGAGAAGTGTCTTGAAGGAGGCGGGACATGCCAGACACTAGAGGGCAACTGATTGGTCAGAAGATTTGACGAGAAGCTGAAGTATGAGGTGACGTCATAGAAATCGTTGATCTATTTAAGCGGAAGTGACAAACTGCAAGCTCTGGATGTTCATTTAAACTGGAAGTTGCTCAGACTTAAACTTTATTGAAGGTTTACAGCACATTTTAAACCAAACAGCAAAAGAGAGAGAGGAGGGCTTGGGTTTGCTCTTGACATAGCTGGGAACCGATGGATAATTAATAATAATAATAATAATAATAATAATAATAATAATTCTTTACATTTATATAGCAGTTTTCTGAGCACTCAAAGCGCTTTTACACAATGGGAGGGATCTCCTCATCCACCACCTGTGTGCAGCATCCACCTGGATGACGCGATGGCAGCCATTTTTGCGCATTTTGATCGCACACCACACACTTAGTTGATTGGTGGAGAGGAGACAGAGTGATGAAGCCAATTGGAATATGGGTAGGAGGCCATGATGGACAGAGGCCAGTGGGCAGATTTGGCCAGGATGCCGGGGTTAAACCCCTACTCTTTTTTTGAAGGACATCCTGGGATTTTTAACGACCACAGAGAGTCGAGACCTCGGTTTAATGTCTCATCCGAAAGACGGCGCTCACTGAGCAGTATAGCGTCCTCGTCACTATACTGGGGCATCAGGACCCACACAGACCGCAGGTTGGGCGCCCCCTGATGGCCTCTAACACCACTTCCGGCAGCAACCTAGCTTTCCCATGTGGTCTCCCATCCAGGTACTTAGCTTCAGTGGGCGACCCTGTGAGAGTTGCTAGCTGACGGCATACGTTGAGAGAGCTAGCTGACGGCATACGTCTTTTGAACCCTTTCGGCATGTCTAGGTTAATGTCGACAGTGGGTTGTATTTTTATTTTTAAGTGAATTAAGTTATTAATGTGGACATTCGAATAGGACACATCCCCTCCAGGGGCGGCATGGTGGCTAAGTGTTTAGAACTGTGGCCTCACAGCAGAAGGGTTGGCCCTGGCTAGGTCAGTTTGCATTTCTGTGTGGAGTTTGCATGTTATCCCCGTGTTGGCGTGGGATTCCTCCGGGTGCTCCGGTTTCCCCACAGTCTAAACACATGTGATATAGATTAACTAAATTGGCTGTAGTGTATGAGTGTGTGTGGGTGTTTCCCAGTACTGGGTTGCAGCTGGAAGGGCATCATCTGTGTAAAAAATGTGCTGGATTAGTTGGCGGTTCATTCCACTGTGGCGACCTCTGAAACGAAGACTAAGCCGAAGGAAAATGAAACGAACGTCCCCCCCATTCATGCTAAAACTACGCCCCTGACGCATTTAAAACATACCTGATTGAAAGCTGAGGAGCTGAGGGTTTTGTTGGGCCAGGAAAAATCCAGAATCTGGCTGTTGAGGAGGATCCCTGAGGACGTCACAATACCACTGCCAAACGGACGGTTCAGAGAGCTACAAAACAGAAAGAGAGCAATGAAGGTGAAGGGAGTGGTGAGCAATGCACCCTGCGTAGGGAAGGTGTCAGTCAGAACACAGCTCAAGCATGGAGCTCTTCTAACCAGCTGATCATCTGAATCAGCTGTGTGTTAAACAGAGACATGCAGAATAAGCAGAGCAGCTGGACTGAGGCCCCGTTTACACTAATGCGTTTTAGTTTGAAAACGCATAAGTTTTGCTACGTTTACGCCAAAACGGAGCGTTTTGGAGGGGCCGTTTTCATTCTAAAACGCTGCTGCTCCATCTCAGTGTGGATGGGGGAAAACGGAGACATCTGAAAACGGAGGCGGGGCTGCTGACGTTCGCCTATCTGATTGGGGCTTTTCCTCAATATTAAGTAGCCTAACACACACAGTTCAGTCCTGCATTCTCTCCTTGTAAGTTTAGACTTCGCAAGTTTGATCAAGGCTGCAGTCTCCCCCTCCTCAGTTTGATATGGAAAACAGACTACCGAGGTAAATCTTCAAAGGGAACATTGTACTTTATAACTGCATTCACATCACCCTGGCTAAGTTGTTTCACTTTCTCAACAATAAAATTAAAACATGATTTAAGGAACTGCCTATTTTATTTTTAATATTAGCAACTTAACAGACAGCAGAAATGTTGAGGCGCTGTGCTGCATATATGAGCGTCATCTTCACTGTGTGGATATTTATAACACAACGGAGCCGATAACAACTGCCTCCATTCAATTTCAGTGAAAATACGAAACGCACCCTCTCTTCTGCTGAATATCAGTTTCAATAATTGATAATGGCCATTATAAAAGTATAACACAATAAGTTTATACATTATAGAAGTTAAGGCGATATATATACAGAATAGGCTACGTGGTTATATTAATCATTAACTTATCTTTGCGCTCAGCCAAAACACGTTACCTGAGAACAAGTAATAGATTCCAATGACCAAAGTCAGGGAAAATGTTGTTAGATAAAGACAACAAGATGAATGAAATATTACGTTTAATAAATATAGTGAGATTAGATCTAGCGGGAGATGCTTGATGAGAAGTCCGACCAGCACATCTCTCATCTGGGTAGATAGGCTCCAGCGCTTGCCCGAGAGTGTGTGTGTGTGGTCACGTAATGTGCGTTTTCAGTGTTTTGGTGTGGACGGAGAGCAGTTCAGAAACGCTGGGTGAAACGCGAGTGTGGACGCGGATCGTTTTCATTCTAAAACACCGTTTTAAAACTAAAATGCACTAGTGTAAACGGGGCCTGAAAAACGTTGTTTTACACGCGAAAAAAGGTTTCTCATTCATGTTAAAGGGCCATGAAACCCCCCGTTTCAGCAGGACGTTTTCACACCTCTTGTTTGGAAAAAGTCAGGAAAGTGGGTGTGTCTAGCTCTGTCTGGGTGGGAGTGTCGGAGGAGGGCAAATGGGCAGGGTTTGAATGAAAATGGGAATAACAATTCTTATTCTTTTCCCACAACTTTTGGCAACACTGTTTCAGGTACAGTCTAAGAAAGCTAGCATGCATATTAATGAAGTTGCAGCGCATACATAATGGAGCGCGCTGATTGGTTTGAACCAAGACTTACTCATTAATGAATGCAACACACTCAGAGACGTAATATGGGACTCCCAGGTACAGACGTCCAGTCTACATGCTGGAACACACGCTAAGATCTCATGGCAGTGAGGCAGCTTGAAAAATTGAAAGTACGAATTTGCTCGAAATAACGCAAAAACAACCAATTTACACTTTTCAGTGTAATATATGTGTCCTAATAGTGTTTATAGCAGTGTGGGACACATATATGACTGTCAACAGCTCAAAACATGTGTTTTGGTGTTTCGTGACCCTTTAAAAAGAGCTTTTGTCCTAACGAATCTGCGACGACGGCTTGTGAAATTTTCTATTTCAGCAACAGGTTTCTATTAGTGGCAATACAACACAATAGACTGCAATGACGATGATCACCTCAGGTACTGATTATGTGCTTTATTCAGTGTTAAACGCGACCAATGTGTTAGTACCAAGCGGCAACCTCCCGCTCTCCCTCAGGAAGCCAATACGGAAGTAACTAAAACTGTAATTCATCTGAAATTCCGCTAGTCCTGGCCGCTCCTGGCTCCAAAACAGAGCAAATTTCAATTGAGCCCACTGTTAGAATGGCCAACTTTACAGCAGGAAAAAAGGTGTTTACAGCCTGCTACAAAAAAAGATTTTGGTCAATACAGCTAATATTACCCTTCATGACAGCTGTGAGGGGGTGAATTTTTTTATAACTCATCCGTTTCCTTTATATTAGGTTATATTAAGTTTGCATAATTAAGGGCGTGGCCACTTGAGTGACAGCTAGGTCTCATTGGTCGCCTTCACGTCACCTCAGCTGAATCCTGCAGATTAGCCACTGAACTCGGCATATTTATCGTATTTCTGTGTTGTTTTATGTGGCTTTAAACAGTCACCTGCCTTTTGGACTTGTTTCCTACAATTATTAGATGGCATGGCATGCTGAGTGCACTCAATTGTGCTCACAAACCATTCATGTGGCCTCCGTTTCCCATGTGAGTAAAGTTATATACTTATATACCATCTCTATACATGTATTTGTTTTATTTAAGATCATTTATGGTTTATATTTATATTTAGAGCTGTAATGCACTGCAGAATCTGTCAGATTGATCAGCTGTAGGCTCTAGATCAGTCATCTGAAGCGTTGTCATACAGTGTTATGCTGGATTTCATCAATAGTCTTACAGTAACTAACACAGACTATATCTGAAGTGTTTGGAAGTAATTCGCGTTTTCCTCCTGTAGGAAAACGTCATAAGAACAATGTTTAGTGGCTCAATGTATTACAGCAGTGTTTTTAAAAGTCTAAACACTTTATTGATATAGTGTACAACCAAGCACAAGTGGTCAGAACACAAACGAGTCGCAGGTGATAAAGTATTAAGCGTTCTCCCAAAGTAAAGTGTGTCTGAACCAGGTCCAAGCTAAATGCCAGCACCTGTCTGTAGCTCCGCCCACTCTCCGCCTCTTTGCCCTTGTTCGGTATCCCGCCGTGAGTGTGCTGACGCATGACCAAAACGGCCGCGCCTACTTGTGGCTTCTTTTGCGCTCTTTAGAAACCTATGGGTGACGTCACGGACACTACGTCCATATATTTTACAGTCTATGGTTAGTACACTATTTTACATGACATTTACTGCCATCTCAGATATTGAAAAAGGGCAGGAGAGTAAATTTGACACTGTCCTCTCCTCTGGCTGCCGTCATAAGTCTCACACTACTGTTTTCCTTCTTCTGAAAGTCTTAATAACACCATCACTGAGTTTTCCTTTTATTATTTCAGCAAATAGGATTATAAATAAAGTATTTGCTGTACTCTCTGCTTCACTGCGCTCTGAGTTTACCAACTATGACGACTTCTGCTGCTGAGAAACACATAAACGTGAAAAGGCTCTATTGGGGTTTGACTCAATCTGACGCCCAGAATCTGAACAGCTGAAGATTTACGTCAGGCATGAGGATGGAGATGGTCAGAAACTCGCCTCATGACTGAGACTATCAGGTTGTCTGTGCCCATGATGGAGATCTGACCGGCCTCATTGGTGTCCTGCAGCTCGTATGACGGTGTGTAGTGATCCGCGGTGGACGCCAGAGTGTCACTGATCATCTGACGAAACGCCGCCGCCTGCGTCTTACTGCCACAACACAGAAAACACAGCAGATTAAAATAGAAACCGTCCAATAGATACCACAGAAACCGTTCAAGAAGTGAATGTAAAGCAGAATGAATGTGCATTTATTTATTATTATTATTATTATTAGAAGCAATTTTTTAAACAAAGCCATAACAATATAATGACCTATATCAATTCAACTACCCCGCATGACCCCTCCCCTGCGGTCTCTTTAAACAGGGGTATCCAAAGAATAGACGTAAACAGAGAAACAAAAGTGCAGCATCAAGAATGAGAGATCAACAGATTACAATTATACAAGGCGTCACAGTGGCACAGTGGGTAGCACAATCCCCTTACAGCAAGAAGGTTGCTGGTTCAAGTCCCGACTGGTCCAGTTGGCATTTCTGTGTGGAGTTTGCATGTTCTCCCCGTGTTGGTGCGGGTTTCCTCCTGTTTCCCCCACAAGTTCAAAAACGTGGTACAGGTAAATTATGTTGGCTAAATTGTCTGTAGTGTATGTGTGTGAGTAAGAGTGTATGGGTGTTTCCCAGTGTTGAGTTGTGGCTGGAAGGGCATCCGCAAAGTTAAAAGATATGCTGGATAAGTTGGCGGTTCATTCCACTGTGGCGACCCCAGATTAATAAAGGAACTAAGCCGAAAAGAAAATGAATGAATGAATGAATGGATGTTCAAGTTCATAGATGAACTGGAGCCTGCATTTCCAGTGAGCCTGTGCTGCATTGATACCATAAACACACTGCTAGAAAACAGTAGCTGATTTGATTCACAGAGTAAAGACTGATCTGATGTTCACCTGAGCATCTCAGCCACCAGCTCCGACACTGATGAATCAAACATGGAGTCTCCTAATCCACTGGCCTGAGACAGAGCGATCTTCAGAGACTACAGGAAGAGCAGATCACACAGGCAGAATACAGAAACATTAGGGGCTGTAGAGAACAGCACATTTACAATAATAGAAACAAATACGAGATTTGAAGTTGTCGAGATCACATTGAACCACACAAGATGTACTGCACTTAATCAGCTGTGTGGTACGATGACATACTGTATCACGTCCAAAGAAATGATAATTATTTGTAATATTTATTAAAATCCATTCTGTGTTATTAATTGTGTCTACACACTGCAAAAAATGCTTTTCTTACTTAGATTTTTTGTCTTGTTTCTAGTCCAAATATCTAAAAATTCCTAAATCAATAAGCATTTTCTAGACAAGCATAACATATTGTCTTGTTTTGAGAAATAATATGCCAAAATGAAGTGAGTTTTTCCTTAAAACAAGCAAAATAATCTGCCAATGGGGTAAGCAAAATAATCTTATGTCAAAAGAAAAAACAAGATTAATTTGCTTTCCCCATTGGTAGATTATTTTGCTTGTTTTAAGGAAAAACTCACTTCATTTTGGCATATTATTTCCCAAAACAAGACGATATGTTTTGCTTGTCTAGAAAATGCTTCTTAATTTAGGAATTTTAGATATTTAGACTAGAAAAAAGCCAAAAAATCCAAGTAAGAAAAGCACTTTTTGCAGTGCACCTACTTCACTCCTAAACCTACCCCCCACAGAAAGCATGCACACTACAATGTCCACTATGAGACTCTTATATTGCTGTTGTGTCATCACTCATATTGCAAGTCATATCTCTCCAGCCCCTCATTTGGGATGCTTTTCATGAACTGTCCCCCATGACAAACTAATTGAATAGCCTTGCTGTAAAGCCTAATTTAACCCAATGCGTGAAGTTGTGGATGTGGAGCTGCTGCAAATACAATATTTATATTGATTAAATATTTATATATTTATTCTATTTTTCCCTTTTAATTACTGATCATATGATAAGCTTTAGTCCACCGTCTGTGTTATGCAGCCTGACTGCCTGTATGGGTTTCAACAAGGTCCGCTGCTGCTGTATTAATGGCGAATACTTTCACTTTTCACTACTACAGCTGCTCACCTCTTGTGTTCAAATCAAACTAAGATCAGCACAGTTTTTTCACATGGCAGGTTTTTACATCTATCACACATTGCAATGCTATCTATACTGGTCTACCTAAGGGTTATACAATGAAGTTGCAATTGATACAAAATGCAGCAGCCAGAGTTTTAATGAAATTAAAGAAACCAGAGCACACTACACCAGTATTAATAGAATTACACTGGTTGCCTGTGCACCAAAAGATAGATTTTAAGATTCTTTTATTAGTTTTTAAAGCACTACACAATATGACACCTTCCTACATTTCCGACTGTTTAACAAAATATAATCCAAACCGCTTGCTATGCTCTTCTAGTGCTGGACTTTTAGAATTTTATCCTGTAAACCTGATGCGATCTGGCGGCACTTCTTTTAGCCATTATGCTCCAAAAACTTGGAACCGTCTCCCCCTTGAAGTGAAAGAATCCCCAAGTATTCATGTTTTTAAGAAGCGTGTTAATACACATCTTTTTAAAATTGCGTATGATTAAACAAGTTTGTCAGGTGTACGCATTTTATCTATTTTGTTGTAGGTTTATGTATGTAATGTATGGTGTGTGCCTGCATATGTAAGGACTATTGTGTGTGTGATCATGTGGATATATACTTACATTTTGTGTGCATGAATGCTTTTATTTCAGTATATGTGATACGTTTTTGTGGTCTATTTTAATGCTTTTGTTGTTGTTTGTGAGGCACTTTGAGTTGCATGTATGTTGGAAAAGTGCTATACAAATAAAGTTTATTATTATTATTATTATTATTATGTTGAGAGATCGAGCTGATCGACTTGATAAGGGAACATGTCTTGACATAATCCACACATATGGTGACTAGTAAAGCATGAAGTCACGTATGATTTTAATTGATGCATTAGTCTGATTGTAAATCCCCTCGTCAGGCAGCGCTGGAGCAGTGTGAAAGAGTGGAGCACAGCGCATCAAACCAACAGTATTGACAAAAGAAAAATACACAACTGAAGATGCTTAAATGCTTGTGTTTGTTGTATTTGCACCAGCTCTGTGATGCTCGTGCACAACTTGCATTGGGCTAAATTAGGCTGTCCAGTCTCTGGGTTCAGTCCTTTACTACCATGGTTGAAACCCATACATGCAGTCAGGCAGCGTAATACAGAGAGTGGAGCAAAGCGCATCAAATGATCGGTAATTAAAAAGGAAAAATAAAATAAATAGATATATTCTTATATTAGACACACATCTGATTTGCAGCAGCTCCACATCCACAACTTCTCTCATTGGGTTAAAGTAGGCTGTTCAGTCCTTTACTTCCACTATCTTTTCAGCTGAGGGAACGAAACCAACCCCCCAGGCACAGCGATATTCCAGGATGACAGTGCCCAAGGTCTAAAATCTATAGTAAAACATGCTAAATGGTTTCCTTAATCGAGTTTGATATGTTTGCATTAAAGTGGAACCCAATGTACAACATAATGTAAACTTGAGTGCTTCACAATCCTGTATATAATACATGAGCATTATCACACGAGTAGCAGTGCGATATGGCTGTATATTGGCACTGGTGGAAGGCGTGTGTTGGCAAGAGGTCTTAGTGCCGATATACAGCCATATCGCACTGCTACTCATGTGATATTGCGTTTATACAACAGTTTGACGGTATAATTGTGTATATAAAAACAAAATCAAACATGGAGAGTCTCAAAAACCCTTTTGTAAGAGGAACTACTTTCTTCCGCCTTGGGTTCAAATCATAAGCTGACAGTTGAACAGCTGAGCAGCATCTTTTACACTTTAGATTTGTAGTGTCGGCTTTCTGCTGGCTGTATGTGGGCGGAGTAATACACAAAGGGTAAAGAGGCTGTACGGGTGCTGATATTACTTAAATATATCACGGCTATCAACCAATCAGATTCAAGACCCAGACAGAACTGTTGTATAAATCACAGTCTTCAGTGCTGCAGTACATCCGCCACCCAGTGGTAGACGCTGCTCCGGGGCGTCTGGCTGCTGATGTTGAATCCCTCCAGGATGTTTAGTGCGGAGAGCAGAGCGACGCCAGCCTGAGGAGGAGGAGGAACAAACACCTGCTGTCCTGCGCACACAAACACAACACTCCCTTATAATAAACACTGCTGACACACACTGAGCTGAACACACTGGAGAGACACAGGCAAACCCCACAGAAACAGTCCTGTTTAGACTGATAAACTACAGCTAAGGTAATACAGCACAAGATGCATGAGGGATGAGGAGAGGATGTGCTTAGGGGCTGAATGCATATTGCATCTAAAACCACATGGAAAGCAAAGATTTTACAATTTCCAACATGGCGCCTGTCATTGCCAGACAACAATCAACCGTTCTATCAAAGAAAACAGAAAACTCCTCCAGAATGAAACTCAGGACTTGAATCATCTACAGGATCTGAATCAGGGAATTTTCTATCTCTATCTATCTCTATCTGGGCACACTTTGGGTCCATTAGTACTAATT